AGCAGCATCATAGGAGCAGGAAGGCTGACGTTTTGGACCTAGACCCTCCCTTCATCAGAAGGGTCCTATGATGCTGCTTGGCCTGCTGTGTTCATCCAGCTCTGCACCTTGTTGTCTGGTATTATTTAAGTCTTGTTTCAGTTGGCATAAACACAGTAAGCTAATAGGTTTCTTATGTTCTATGCATCTTTTATTTTGGGGCATAAATTGGTCTGTATCAATGTTTATGGCCTACATGAGCCACCTATCCTACATATCTTTATCTACATATCATTCTATTCCATTTTCCCTCATTTAGTTACTTACCCTTAAAGACATCGACACGATTAGGTTCAGTTCCATGGTCTAACAACTTTTGTGTAAAATGTTCTTCTGAATTGCTATTGAGTTTATAAGTGACCATTTTTATTTTTATATCTCCTTGATTGGATTCTTTCACAAGTAGAAACATCATCTCTATCTTTCCTTTTCCAAATGTCTTCATGAAGTTTAAATGCCTCCTGTAGTTTATTAACTTTTCTTCTAGCGAAAAAAACATTTCATTTTTTAACATCCGTCTTCAGTGCAGAAATATCCTTTTATTCATAGTATAGATTTGAAAACTGTACACATTGTGTGGTCAAGCAAATATTCCATGCATATTTAACTTCATTTCCCTGCTCTTCAATACTGTTTCTCCAGAATTAAACCCTGGTTGTTTTGTTTGCATTTTTTATGATCTTGTTAGCATCAACAACAACAGTTTTTTTAGGTAATGCTTTCAACATGTTAAAATATCCTAAGATAGTCCATAGGAGTGCTTCAAAAACAGTTAACACTGTTGTTTTGAAAAGGGACATAACAAATAGATTCAAGAATTTTGCCTTTTCTATATTTAACTTTTGTAAGTGATTCCAGCTATTAGAATATTAAAATTATTCAATTTAATCTCATGTTTACATTTTATATACAATTTATCTCATCATTGAGGATTAAGTATGTTGGTAAATTGGGGCTTGGTTAAATTTAGAGTAATTATTGTATAGAAAAGTAAATTATTTTATGTTGGATTAATTTTTTTTATTATTTATAACTTTATTTTCATAAGGATTAGACAATGATTAATTTTGATTTATTTTTCAAGCTATCATGATCTAATAATGTGCAAGCCAAATGTAGTACCAGTTTTGATGGTAGGCCTCATCACCTGCATTGATTTGAGGTAATTATTTTTAATGACTGATTGATTGATTATTAAACAGTACAAATAGCATTGTATTTGTATTAGTTTCACTTTTAAATAATGGAAGACTTAAGAGAATCTCGAAACAATTCATTTTCAGCTAACTACTTTGAATTGTGATTGCTGTTCCAATATACAAGAAAATTCAGCACAATTGGATTTAAAAGTATGAAAAATGCCCCAGTACTTTGGGCTTGTTTTTATTTTTAAGATTATTGATTGAGGTATTGATTGTCAGAAAACTGGTAGAATTCCCTTCCTTCTCTTCAGATCGCACTTGCTGGCTCTTTAATGTCCAACTGGACCTTCATGCAACATTCTGCTACTCCTGCACTAATTGTCAGCCCTGAATATGTGCTGAAGGCTACAAGAATACCTTAGGCACTGGAGTGGACCAGCAACTTGAGCATGTTTTGCCATTCAATTGAGCATGGTCTGCAACTTAAGTCCGCCTATCTATTGCCCAATATCTCAACTGTAAATTGCTGTACATGAAAGAGTTTCAAATTTCTACTACCCTTTAGGTGTAAAAGAGTTTCCCAATCTCACTCCTCAGATGTCTAGTTATCATTTTTAAGTTGTGCTGTGTAGCCCTAGACATCTGGCCCAATGGAAATAGTTTGTTCACTACTTTCTCTCTTCCCCTTAAGATCAGTATTCTAAATTCAGGAGAGTATAATCCGGTTTGTGAAATCTTTCCTTGTAAGGGCCTTTTGGAGCACTTGAATCCTGTGGTAAAACTTCACTGCATTTGGTCCTGTTTGAGGCGTGGACGCCAGAACTACTTGTATGTGTTGTGCAAGCAGGGCTCTGTACAGCTGCCTTATTACTTCTGCAATCCTTGCATTCTAGTTTTCTAGACATAAAGGCTTTCAGTCTTTTTGATTATTTTATGTGCCTTTCCATGACATAATAAGAACCTGATTTCATGGATCCTCCCGTGACTTCTGTACTCCATCATTCTACTTTTACTTTTGTATTTAGAAAATATGTTGCTTTATTCTTTATAAGTGCAAAGCATATAAGCTTACAGTTTCCTGTATTGAAATTAATTTTATACCATTTTCCCATTCATTGTATTTATCAATGTTTCTTAATATTTTTCTGCTTCTGTCTATGCTGTTACAATGGCATCTACCTTTGTATCATTACAGTATTTGAATGGGGCTTTCTGTTTCAGCATATAAGTCATCAATAAATATCATGAATAGTTGAAACCCTAACACCATCTTTACACGATGCTACTAATAACCTCCTGTCAATTAGAGTATCCACATATTATGTCTATTTTTCCCTGTAACTCAAGATTTCATAACCTGGTTAGTAATCTGATGTAAAGTCCACGAGCTTCAGCATTAACACTTGTTTATGAGATACTTCAATCAAATGCTGCCTTAAGTCCATACAAAGGGCATCCATGGACATTCCTCTGTCCACTGCTTTAGTCACTTCTTCAAAAAATTCAGTTTGGTTTGCCAGTACAACTTAGTCCCTTTATTATACCTAGAGTAGACCCTAATCTTTTTGTTTAATTTGTGTGATGAAAGCATGCTGGCAAGGGATCAGTTTTTAAGTATGCTTTAGTAGGTAATGGTAGGCCACATGTTTGAAATCTGCCATCTATGTGATGTGGTATACCCACAGTGTAGTTAGGTGTCCAGCAACAGTGAAGGAGTGGTGATATTGTTTCAAGTCAGGATGGTGTGTGAACTTCTGGGGATCTTGATGTTCCCGTGCACCTGCTAATTGTGCCTAAGTTGGGGGTGGTTGCAAGTTTGGAAGGTGCTGTCAAAGGATCCATGGCAAGGTTCAGCAAAACATCTTGCAGATGGTACGAATGGCCTCAACACACAAACAGTGGAGAGAAAGAATGTTTATAATGTTAGATGGGCTGTCATAGCAGTAGATTTGTGTTATCCAGGATGGTTTCAAGCTTCTTGTGGGCAGTTTGAATTACCTTGTGCAGAATTCCCAGATTCTAACGTGCTGATTCATTCATCTGCATCTATCAAATCACACTTGATGTCCGGCAAAAGCAATATACTATGTATGCTGGTAAAAGCAGCAGAAAGGCTGAGGAAATTCCTGCCTCGTGTTGTAGCACAGTGTACACTCCAGGTGGCACTCTTAAAACATAGGGAAACAGCTAAAATTAAAAAAAGACTACCTAAAGCATTCTATATTTCATTCACCACACCCATCAACTGTTTTCTAATATGTAGTCATCATTTTACATATCAAATTCTTATTGTCTTTGTCTCCCTTCTGTTCCACCAGAGAAAATGTAAAGAAACTGAAGCAGGACAATGATGTACATGCCAACAAAATAGAAAAGACATTAAACAGTGTTGTAAAACAACTCAATAACAGTATCTCAAATGAAATTTTGCTTCGGGTGAAGGTATGTTGGGATTTGTGTTTTCAAATTATTTATTCATTAAGGGTATTCAACTGAAATGGAAATATTATTCTCTAGCTTTGTTTTAAGAAACTCATGACAAAGAAGTGGCTATCCAATAGTGAGGATTTTAATCAGATAATAAGCATTGCTGAAAAGTATTGTGAAGAGTTCAAGAAGATGAAACCAGCCAATTACCAGGTATACTATTTACAGTTCATAGATCAGACACTTAAGTTATTGAACATTGTAAAAACAATGGCTATTAAAAATAAATGAAAATTAATTATCTCTTTTAAATAAAAGGTTTTGATATCTGGCATCCACTATCGGTTTGTTAAAGAGTACCTAGCACAAATCATGAAACAACGCTTTAACTGCAAATCATCTGAAGAGCGTGACAGAGCAGCAAGTAAGATCAGGGAAGAATTGGGGACAATAAATAAGATGTATGGAGAACTCGTAAGTAATGTAAATTTTTTTGTTTTGTTGAATATGTGCTGCAAACACTGGCTTAACTTCGGCTTAATTTCCCCTGTGAGCCAAAACCTCTTCAAGCATTATTCACCAACTGTATACAGGTCAATTTATGTTTTATTTTTATTTTCTTTAAAAATTGAATGTTTCTTCAGACTTCCTTACCAGTCACAAATATTGCAGTGACCCCTA